ACTGGGACAGAGCCCAAGGGAAATTTTCAAAAATGTAAGGTCAGTTTGCAAATCTTCACACCTAGATTAATATTTTGGTAATATGTGGGGTTAAATCTTAAACAAAAAAACCTTTTTGTTTACAAAGTTTCATGTAGCGTATTAATAATATATATGTCAAATCTATGTTATCTTTAGGATCGGCTTCAATGCAAAATATCTTACGATATCACGCAATAACCACTAAACACATTTTATCAAAACCTCAATATGTCAATATAAGGTTAACTATGTATCTATTCAAGACATCGATGTAATATATCGTTGATTCAACATACTACGGAATTATGCAAATGCAGTTGCCATTTGTCTCCTGTCACTCGAACTGTCTGATTAACATTAACCAATGTTCAACGTGAACCTTACCTAGCAGATCTATAGGGTTCAGATCCCATATTGTAGTGTGCTTAATGCTATGTACCAGGTGTCCAAAAGTTATAAATGTTCTTAAAATGGAATATGGATAAACAAATAAACGGTATCAACAATTTGACACATACTTTCTTCAATTGGCATGTCAAAAAATCTTAACATGGGTAAGTGGTGAGAGTAACCATGATATTTTATAGAAAAAGTCAGAAAAAAATTTTCTTTTGAACACAAATTTTCCAGCATTGCAGGTTGTATAATCTTTGTAAAAAAAGCCCCTAACATTCTCAATAAAAAAAATCTTTAGTGCTATTTTCGTACAACTCAGATTTTTCCGTTATGTAATGGGGTTTATTAAAAAAACTTGGATATACCTACTATGGATTAGTTTCCCAGATACAAAATGTCATACAAATCTAACTACATGTTCAGTCTGTAGCTCTGTACACATTCACACAGTTTTTTTTTTAGTTCCGTGGTATATGAAACATGTATGTGGGTACTAATTCATGGTATCTCCAGTTGATTTGGCATTTTTAAGTTTACTTAGTAGTGAATTCCCTATAAAACCCACATATTAGTTGAACAATTATATTTTCACAAAAAAGATTATTCCAAAAAGTTTAATTAAAACTTAGTATGTTATAGTCCTTATAGCTGTCAACAAAATGGTACAGCCCCGATTGTTGTAAAAAATTATGGTTCAAAATGTATTGCAACATTTTCTTATAAAATATAGTTACTCCTACCGCTTACCCATAAGGGTTTTTGCAAAGCAAATGGGAGAAAGTATGTGACAGATTGCTTATACCGTTTCTTTTAAATATATTTCGATACTACAGTGGACTGTATCTCATAGTCATGTAGTACATACTACATATCTGTCAAATATATGTATTTATTGTTACGCTAATTTTTTTAGTGCTGTAGTTATACAGTGGTATCGATTTACTAACACTGAGAGTCATTAGCTGAATAAACTAGAAGACTTTCGACGTTATCTGAAGTTCTTTACGCTTTCTAATTTCCGGATAAGATTTTATCACCTCCGTAAACGTTCTAACTACTTGTGTTAGCTTCAAGAAATATCGGTAATATCTTGTCTGGAAAGAATATAAACGTTTGTTAGAGAATGCTGTAAGCATAAAAAGCATTTCCAGGAATTATGAAAGTAATATAAATTTTTGTGATAGCAAATTTATAAGCAAATTCGTTCTTTTGTATTTGTATTGTTCTCTTTTAGACAAAACTATCATAAACTAAGTGTTTTTTATTTATTTAAATCCAAGATTTATTTAAGGTATATATATATCAAACTAATAAACCTATATCAAAATAATAAGGTAATTTGCTAAACGTACACAAGTTTTAAAGGTATATTACACTTAAATCAATTTTTGTTAATAACGTACGAAGGTATGTTTCCTTTTAATACAATAGTGTTTTAGTTTGTTCCGTGACATACAATATCTTCAAAATTTTGATTCTCTAAAAAAATGTATGTATAGTCTATTTAAAAGCCTATGTGTTCCTTGCATTAGGTTTCAGCGCTGACTTTTTTTCTGATAGTTGATGTATACAAGACTAAATAAAATTTAAGGTTTTGAGTTGAAACTTTGTATTTTAATTTTATACGATTACCGTTGAATTAATTTCCTTTAATAATTTTATTTTTTTACTCTCAGTTGACATAACTATGTTTATACATTATCAGAGTTAAGTATATAATGTAAAATTATAGATTGAGAAAAACAATATTCTCCCAAATCATTTCACACGTGTTTACCTATTGATAGATTTCAAATTAAGCTACATATATTTCTTCTTTGTCATATCCTTATCTCTATCCTGGAACACAGGTCTATCAATCCAAATAGAAGAGCTCTCTAATTTCACGCACGTAAGAAATTAGAGTGTTCTCTGACTTGGATTGCTCAACAAATACAATTCAGGCAACAACTACAATCATACAACTACACAACAAAACCTAATAAACAATTACCAACTTATGTGTTGAATAAAAAAATGACTGTAAGGAACCTTAAAAATGTCTGTTATAAATAAATTATATTCCTTGAAAAGTATGAAATGCGTTACTACCTTCTACTACAAAGGAGAGGAAAAGGGTTGTGTCCTCCTAAGCCAAGTTCATCTGTATTTTGACTTATAATACACTACACACTTTTGTGTATAGAAAAATAGATTACAATAGAATAGATACAGATTGTACAAGAATAAAAAAGTATTTTGTTTGATGCTACATACAGTTTCAATTAAATATAATATAAAATAAAGTGAATGTAAATCCTTTTAAAAGTAAAAATCACAAAGTAAAGAAACTTTTTTGGTGGAATCATTTAATACTTAGGGTGTGTATTAGATTATCTGTTCATTAAAATAACATATGATGCTATACTAAACTGTGTTAACATGCAATTGGTTTGGATCCTACATACATTAAAGCAATGACTATTATACTAACTCATAATATTATTTATTTACATTCAGCTGCAATTTTATTACAATATCTTTTACATAACAGTGCCTAGGCTAATAAAAATTGAATTAAAATTCATTTATAGTACATGGCAAGAATACTTATTTTCTTAACCTTTTTTTACATATATAGTGTAAAATGTTTAAATATAACAGTTGTTAAACAATTAATTGTTTATTGCTAAAACATAATTGATTTTAATTCTTATTGTATATAGGTTAGACAGTCTATGTTAAAACGTTATTTTGTTTTTAAGACTATAGAAGGGTACAATATTAATGGTCATACGCCCATTAATATTAAATTAAGTTGTTGTTAAATTAAGTTATTTTATAACAATGCATAATTATTATTACAGCCAAAATATAAGCTAGCCAAATTGGTATTAGTTATTCTTCTTAGTCAGGTCTAACTAGCTTCTTAAAGAAAAAAACATTAGTCTTAAAGCTATATGCTAAAAGACTAGACCACTATACTATAGATGTTAAAGGATATGTAAGGTGATATAGTAACAAAAAGTTAACTTTTACTTTAAAGGATGTCATGTGTTTAAATATAAAAGTTTATTGTTATTTTGTATATAAAAAAAAATATAATTATAAGCATGATTTAGTGTCAGTAAAATAATTAAAAAAGATGATAATGCATTTCTTAAGACTAGTCCATCTTTTAAGTAATGATTATACTTGTGATATTCGAATCAGACATGTTGGAATACTGAAAAGTAACTAAATTAGAACTTCCTTGAATTTTATATTTTATAAAATTCTCATTAGGCAATACAAGATATATTTAACTAAATCTAACTATTTTATGAGCAGTGGTACATCTTCCAGGATTGAATTAATCCATGGATGTAATTCGTTATAAATCGTACAATGTATTTTATACATCTTACTATACCGTACTTATAATACACGTAACCTAACTAAATAATAGCCTCCAGCAATTGGTAACACATTTAATTGGTCTCACCATACACTGAATCCTAAGGCTTTTACCTATCTACTTAGGCCAGCTGTTGAAGGGTTTTGACTAAAATAAATTTGTTGTATCATGTTGAGTATCATGCTGTTGTAAGAAATTGTGTTAAATAAAAGATTTACATATTATGGCAGTAGATTCTAAAATACCATAAGTTGTCCTGAGCATGTCCACCAAGCGTCCCACCAATGTCACGCCTCAGTCCTTATATGAGTATGGTGGATAACATGAGGTTTTTTTGGACGACAAACCGAATACTCCATACACCTTAATATTACAGTTTAAAATTACTATAGTTATTATTAGTGGCTGCGCTGAACTACGTCCATTTTTAGGATAAATATGCCTGAAACCTAAAAATAACAATCAGAAGTATGTTTCACATTGACACATAATGCTAATACCTTTACTAGGGTGGCCAAAAAAGAGGTACTTGTCCAAACTGCTGTTTTAACTTAACTTCTGTTTTAATGGACATCACTCCAAAACAAACCATTAATAATGCGTTAAGAATTATGCTTAAGTTGAAAAGGGGTAAATCTGTTAAACATTTATTTATTTCCACAAAAACCCTAACGGTTTATGCTCTCAACACTTTAGAGACTGTAATGTATGTTAAACAACTTTAAAATCAAAATTTTGTAAACAACGTTCACCCGTACAACACCAGATTAAATAGACCGGTAGAACCACTTTTACCAAATATTCCTTTAAGTCATTCTTGCATTTACTTAAGTTTTGTTCACCAAGAAATGACCTTCGTAAATGAAACAACAATTTTGTTCCCATATATTTCGTTTTCTTTTTGAAACATTCTAAATTATTTTACCAAGGTAAAATGCAAGAATGACTTAAAGGAATATTTGGTTAAATTAGGCCTATACTCTCTAACCAATTTTTTTTTTCGAAAAACACAGAGCTTAGAACAGAGCTTAGAGTAATTGATGAGTAAAAAATCAAATCAATTGATACGAAAATGAACGTTCCATACACATTAATAAATTTACTTTTAATTTAGACGAAATTAGTGTAACTGTTTTTATATATAGGATTATTGTCATTACTATTTCTTTTTGTAAACATTGACACTATTTGTTGTACCATTGTGCAAATTTATAAATAAAGAATGTTTGAATTGAATTGAATATCTAGCCAAATATGTTTGACGATCGTAAATACTATAATGACTACCAATGTATTAGTCGTAGTCAACTTTAGTATAAAATTTAACTGAGTTACCAAAAGAGATTACCCAGATAAATTAGCTTAGGTGTCTCCGTAATACAGTACTAATTTTTTATGTAAGGAAATCTAATATTTTTTTCGTCTAACAAAGAAATTATAATAATTGTCTCTAGCTTTCAGTGACTTATATTGAAAATTTGTTTCCATACAAAAATAAAAATAAGATTGAGATTAATTATATAGATAGGGTTGACTTCTTTATTAAAACAAATCAATGGTTTTTATTGAGACGCATAAAAGTCCCCTGAAAAGTCGCATAACAACCCCTCGAGATGTAAGTCAGGAAACTGTCATATTGAAAGGGGAATGTAATATTTACATTAGCTAATTCTTTGAGTGGAATAATAGACTATATGAGCATCTGGCTGAAGCTGGTTCTTATAGATAGGATGGCTTCACTCGTATCAATAATTCGTCAACTTTTTCTCCACCATACTCAGTTCTGAACTTCACATTCAAACTTCCTCCATCTCAAGGGGCTTTACCAGGTTGACTCCGCCTGAACCAGTGCTGCAGACGTCCAGACACTGTCGTGGGACTCTTCTCATACTCTTCCCAATGTGATGCTGTGTGCAGGACATACCCAGGACGCCGAGGTGATCCGGGCGAGGGCACCTCCGACTGCAAGGGTGCCGCAGGAGATGGAGGTGCCGAGGACCCGGAGGCTGGGTCTCTGGCGGAGTTGAAATAATACCGAGGCTTGTTAACCTCTTGGACTCGTTCTACGGGTGACGTAGAGACGCTTGGGAGAACCTGTGGTAACATAGGCAAGTGAGTGATGAAGATAACTGATATAATAGCTACTCACAAAACATATATTTTGAAACAGTTCTCCATATGTAAGCCCGAATTGCTGATGCATTATACACAGGAAACGTGGAAGACCATTTACCATACTAGACCAGGTGGTATTCCAAAAATAAAAAACAGGTGAGGTATAAAAAAGTGCATGGTAACTTAAAACAGTGGGTTGTTTACACAACTCGTTTCGTTGATGTGATAGAAAACTTCATCGTAGATGTTAGCCTCCGGATTGCCAAACAAAATTTAAAAGGATCGGGCAATCCAATATTTTTGTAAACACAACAAGTTTCGGAACCTGTAAGGCACTATCATCAGGGTGGTTTCTTTCATCCGATGAGCGTCATATTGTTTAACACGGAAATAATAAATACACATTTAAACACGACATAAACACAAATATAAAGCATTTATTGTAACTAATCACACCGCACAAACCCCACCGGGTTAGTGTAGTTTGTTTTTTCTTAACTGATAAGTTACCATAAATGTTTTGTATTCGTGTTTCTGTCGTTTTTTAAATGTTTATTTATTATTTTTATGTTAAACATTATGACTATCTTCGTATGAAGAAAGAAACCCGTACTTGTGATGATGGTGCCATACAGGTACCAAAACTAGTGATGGAAAATGTTAGTAAACGTTTTTAGGATTATGACAAAAGTCACACATTGTAGTTCTATGTACCCAAAGGCACATTTGGTATCTTTTTTGTATCAATTACCTTTCTCCCTCGTTCAGAAAGAAGAAACGACACACTTGGAAGTTGAGATTGAAACTCCTCAGGGTCCGAGAGATCTCCTCCGAGGCTGTGTCTCCTAGAGCTTGATATTCTGTAGTCGTGGAGCTTTTCCCTTTCCCTCTCTTTTTCTCTGTCTCTTTCTCTCTCCCTATCCCTGATTTTCTCTCTCTCCCTGCTTCTCTCCCTCTCCCTGCTGCGATCCCTGGATGGTTTCCTCTCTATGTAGTAGTCCTGGGGTTGCAGGTAATGCTCGTCTAGTTCCAACTCCATCATGCTGGGCGGAGATCGCCGACTGTCGTAAGTCCCCTCAACAACGCTTACATTTCTCGAATCAAGTCTTGAAAAAAGTGAATTTTTTAATGGAGTTGGTATGGAAATAACTATAAACTGTTGAAACATAATGCTAAACTGTGAAATAATGTTATCATACTGTAAAATATAAGTCTAATGGAAATTATCAGGCCATGTATGATTTCACGGGGTGATTAATGCCCAGTAAATAATGTATATTTTTGTGTAAAAGTATAAGACCACATTAACAAGTTCAGTTTGGTGAGTTTTTTTGTGAAGATATCATAATGTCTTTACCAAATCATGTAAATCGAATATACAGGGTGAACACAAAAGAAGTGAACAACTTTAATAAAAGATTACAGGAAAGTTATACTACCTAGGAGAAAGTGAAATACACCATTAGAAAGCTAAGATTCTCAAGTTTTTTTCCCATATATTACAAGTGCTCAATATGGGATCCTCGGCTTATTTTACACACATCTATTCTAAAACTAAATTATGCCCAAACTTTTTCAAGAATGGTCTCATTGACACTTTGTACTGCAGTAGTAATGTGATTTTGGAATTCCATAAGGTTCAATGGCAAAGGAGGAACAAAAACTTTGTCTTTCACATTCCCCACAAAAAAGTCACTAGTGGACACGGGTGGCAGACTGAGTTCTCTCTAATTCTAACACATAAAAAGACTTTTCTGAGAGCGTATTGACAATTTTTAAACAAATCGATAAATAACATCTTTCGTCACGTGTTTGTATTGTTGACAGCAATCAGCTGTTTGAGACAAAACTTAAGGTGTTTTCCGACTCACTGGTACCAACCTCAGCGATGTCGGACCCGTAGTTTTCGATAAATTGATGTTCAAAGTTGTTCACTTCTTTTATGTTCACCCTGTATTTATAATTTTATTTGTTAAAATTTTTAAAATTTAAACAACTTAAATTTTGAATTAGTTTCTTTATACTTTTTTAAGAATCTGAACGTGTTGAGGTTATTGTATACAAATAATGACAATATACACACTATGGTCAAACTTTGTGTGTATAGAATTTATAGTGTATAGAAAGAAACATAGAATAATGATAGGGCCATTTAAGGAAAGTTTATTATAAGTAGTGATAATACCTATCAAATTCTCGATCGAACTTTCTGTCTGTCTCAGCATCCACCAGCTCGTGACGAAACCTATCTGAGAACCTGTAATTCAAAAATGAATATAGCAAATTTAAAATTACATTTTTACCTAATCAAACACTAAACTTTGAACTCTCTATATCTGCCTATTCATATATTACTTTTTTTAAATAATAACATGCCAACATCATTACAAACTTGACAGTATTTGGCACAAGTGTGTATACACAAGTAGTATAAGCTAATAGAATGATATACAGTAACGAATTCCACTTTTGCAGTACCAATAAAATGTTTATAAATTTGTATATACATATTTTATTTGGTTTTACACGGCTATATTCATTAATCTTAAATCCTAAGCCTATCTATCTATCTATCTTAAGCCTAGGAATAGATTTTGCAGGGGCAACACGCATTGTAGTAGTTAACGCAACTATTGCGTAAAGATAGTGTTAACGACACGAGTAGAAAAACGACTCATTGTACCAATCACTTATTGCACAAATCGTTAACAATTAAATTGGTTAACAGCTGATTAGCTGAAGTTTGAAGCATTACAATTTTACTTCTTCTCTCAATCATTGAACATAATTGATCCGTTACCCGTGTTTTTAAGTAAAACTATGTAGTTATGTAAGTAAACAATGACATCCTATTACTGTACTAATTTTCCAAAGTGCTTAAGGTTTATAGTTTACCTCCCGGAGTCGTCCGAATAGCTCCTAGGAAATCCCCGGTTTTCCATCCCTCTTCGACCGTACTGTCTGCCCTCTTCGCTTCTTCCCTCCAATCTCGCAGTTTCTCTCTTCAGCTCCCGCGCTTTTTCAACTTCAAAGTCCACGTTTCTTTCTAGCTTTTCTACCACTACCCCTCGTCCGTCAAGATCTTCCACTGTCTTCTTCCTTTTCAAAGAAGACCTGAGCTCATTTATTACCCCGTTGCCGACATTTTTCTTTGACTTTTCGTCAAATTCCTGTAAAAGTCAGATACAAGTAAACAGTTTATGGATATATTTTAGGTTTTGTTGTATTTTACATGTTTTACTCTATGTGCTGATCCAAACACTTAAATTAGTTTGCATTCTTGATACATTCACAATTAAAAGTAAATAAAATATACTTGCTATTGAGATAGCAATTATACAGTTACGTCAGAAGGCATGTAAAATTAATCCCTAATTTTAAGTAGGTAACTGTACATTTGTAGGGAGTATTTCATTTGGTCCAAAATCGTTTGGTCCAACAGTTGTAAACCAGTTCGTTTGGTCCAAAACCGTTTGGTCCAAAATCGTTTGGTCCAACAGTTGTAAAACAGTTCGTTTGGTCCAAAATCGTTTGGTCCAAAAGTACAGGCAAAACCAGAAGTAAAATTTTGCCTTGTGGAGTAAACTTATGAAATAGACTGTACGTTTCACGTGGAGTATTTCATTTGGTCCAAAATCGTTTGGTCCAACAAATGTAAAACAGTTCGTTTGATCCAAAATCGTTTGGTCCAACAGTATGAACTATTACGTCACTCACATTTAAGGCGTTTAAATAATCGCCGTCACGTCGTCAACCCAACCGCCTGCCTTCCGAGGCCTATATTTGTTGTTTTGTGTAATGTTTCTAAATAATTGATATGTTTGCATTTACATACACGTACATATACATGTATTTATTTATATATAATGTGCTTGTGTCCTGTTAACTTTTTATCCCCAGTCAATCTTAAAACAACGCGTTTTAAATCCATAGATTTGTGGATAAACATTGACTTTGCTTTAAGTTTGCATTTATTGTTAAACAGATGGTTTATTTAATTTATCTATATATTAATTTCAATCTATATTTGTTGTGTGTTTGTCATGGTATTTGTAACAATCATTTAGTTAATAATACAAAATATATAAAGTGAATTTCTCAGTGAAGATATATCCTATTTTTCTAAAACTTCCCAAAATGTTATGTTTACTCCCCATGAGAACCAAGAATAAATTATTGAAAAGAAAAGAGTTTGTATTTGTTGTGGCTTATTGTCAATGGTATTATCTTAACCATTAACCCTATCTATATATATATATATAATAGAGGAGGTATGTATTTATTTATGTACAAAACATGGTGTATTTAACGTTTAAAACATAGAAAGTCGGCATGTTTAAAGCAAAAATTGTATTAATATTATTATTGTATACGACGGTGGATATTTGAACGCCTTCAATGTGAGGGACGCAATAGTTTATACCGTTGGACCAAACGAACTCGTATTAATGTGTTGGATAAAACGATTTTGGACCAAACGAACTGTTTTACAACTGTTGGACCAAACGATTTTGGACCAAATGAACGGCAATATAAACGTACAGTATATTTCATATGTTTACTCCACAATGCAAAATTGTACTTCTGGTTTTGCCTGTACTTTTGGACCAAACGATTTTGGACCAAACGAACGAGTTTTTAACTGTTGGACCAAACGATTTTAGACCAAACATACGAGTTTTTAACCGTTGGACCAAACGATTTTGGACCAAACGAACGGCAATATAAACGTTGGACCAAACGATTTTGGACCATTTGAATACCATCCCATTTGTAATTTTTTTGTCCTACACACAATTTATTGATGGGAATTTTAAACCCTTCTTCATTCAAAAGCATTAAATTGATGCCAGAAAATCCAAAAGCGATACTTCGCAAGTTGAAAAGAGTTAATACCTTCAAAAGCGGATTAGTTTTAAACGGTTAGGTTGGATTTTCCTCTTCCCTCCCTTGGCTGGAATACCTACCACAACTATCTTTAATATTCCCCAATAAATGTATATATTACACATTTTTTAATTATCTTAAAGGTATAAATATCATATCAAAGAGATATATATTTTAACTGCGTATTAGTGCAATGTTTTAAAAAAGGGCAAAGTAAATCCAAGAAATATTTATTTAGTGAGTGTGAGTTGAATAGTACTTTATTGCACTTAAACCTTTAACATTACTATTTGATTGTGAATTACCATAAAGAAATTTTTAATTGCCTGTGTCTCAGATAGTAACAGTTTGTCATAATTTGGAAAAATTTACAGGCCTAAACTACTTACTTTTACAGGCTCCTTATTTTCTTTGGGAGGTTTTTCCTCCATGACTGGAGCCGAAGGTGCAGACACTATTTTAATAGGCTTCTTATTTTTATCTACCATGGATGAATCTGAAGAAACCCTGAAAAAATGTAGGTTATTTAATAACGCATCATACAAAAAAGTTAGTCCTACTTTGGTGGCTAAATAATATTTACTGATGGTTTTGTAATTTAGTTGTTAGCTAAGATACAGTGCAACGCATGTAATACAAATGTCACGAATCGATGAGAAATAATAAAATATTTTTGCTGACGGATTCTAGCAATGATCGAGGCCCATGGATTATAGCCCAAAATAGTTTATCATTTTATTGCTATTTATAGGATGATCTCCTAAGCGAATTTCTTTTCAAAAGAAGACAATATTGATTGATGACAGACATTATGGGATGTTTCACTATCATTCAACGCTGATTTTCGTCATTGAATGGCCTATGTAACGAGTTAAAATATCTCCTTATTGATCATACTAGTCCAATACCCTGAAATCCGTATTTCATTTTACTGTGTTTTATACAGAAAAGTGTCTAATCCCTCCTTAAAGTAGTACAACGTAGACTACATATCTGTAAAGAATTTAATTGTATTACTGACAAAATGTCCTAGATGACATGTTTTGAAACATGTAAAATTTTTCTAACACTGCATTTGATTGAAATAAATAATGAATAAAATGTAATACCATGAAGTTTACTCATTCTAAAATTGTTTTGTTTGTTGCTGAGGTAAAATTCGACATCATTTTCTGTTTTCCTGTTTTATGTGACAGTTTTTACACTATAAACTCATTGTTCATAATTCGTCCTATTTCCTAGAACTTTTGCTTTGTACACCATAGGCCCCGTAAAGTTTTTACCACTTAATGTAACATAAAACGTTTATAAACAATGCATCTTGTAATGATTCACAGCATTTCTAACGCTTCCACATCGATTACCTCTTGTTGCCGGTGAAGGCTAGGTCTATGAGGAACAGAAGTCCTGTAAGGATAGCCAACACCCCCAGTACGATAGCGTTGTCCACCAGATGATGAGGTACCTGATCCACGGCGGCCAGACTGAGTCCTCCCACTGCTAGGAACATGATGCATCCCAGGATCAGGAAGAAGCAAACCTAGAGGAACACGGATTTAATCATTTCTCTTTTATACAGATAATACATTTAAATAAGCTTTCATGCTGTTACTATTCGTGCGTTTGGTTACGTTTTAAGGTCAAGCTTGTTATTGCCTATGATGATTTTTATGGCTTGCACCTGCTTGTCAAATAAATATTGATTGATTTTGATGTAAAAGTTATCCTTTTGTGTTTTGGGATATACCTAAAATACCCTTCTAAGTTAAAATATATTATTATAGTTATATTATTATAGTTCTAAAGTTTGTGTTATAATGTGTGTGTTATTAGGAGGATATTCGTTTACATTTGAACGGGATTGTGTATATTGCCTAAAAATCAATTTTCCTTAGTTAGTGAGTTACATAAAACTAACCATTGTTGAGGCTAACTGTAAAGAGAAGAGTACCATCATGATATATGTCATCTAGGCAAGGCAGTCCTATAGTGAATAAATAGTGGAGGCAACATTTTTTGAAACAATATCTGGATTATTATATCACGTCGCTACAGCGTCTGGTAAGTCAATGTATTCTTATTTCATACGCAGTGATATTGTAGAAAAATATTTGATCCAACATAGGAATCTAACCGATTTATTGTAGGATTTATCAACTAGTCCTGAAAAGGACGTCGAGCTCTCAAAACCGAAATAATAGGCTACAACAATACACCAGCTTTCAGTTTCGTGAAACATATTTTTGTTTTTAAATTGACCTTTTGTGGTGAATATTGAACGACACTTTTCATCACGATGCGTAAGCCACAACAATTTTCTTGGAAAATGTGGTCAGATTAACAGTTAGGTGAGCTCACAACAAAACTATATGGTTAAGAATCATGAAATAATAATGGACAGACCTTCACTCGAATTATAACTGTGAATATAATGTTTACTTGATAATTTCATATATACTTTGATAAGTTTATTTAGTATAAACCTGTTCAATTTTTCTTTATATACACAATTACGTGTTGAAGTATTTAGCATACGGCTGTAAATTTTTAATATAAACGTTTGAAAAAGTTTTTGGTCAAGGGTTATTATGCATAATTCTTGAATTCAAAATATACATAAACCTCGTGTTTGGATCTATATATTTGGAAAATAACAAACCTATAAGACGATTCTAGTACTGAGCTGAAAAAGTTTAAAAGTTCCAACTACCATGTTAAATTTTGTAATATAATTTTGTTACTTTGATTTATAATCTTTCGTAATACACATTTCCTTTTAAGCTTTTTATAGACTAAGCTGCAATATAGTTTTGTAAATCCACTATTAGCTTGATATTGAATTTTTTGAATATTACGTCAAGCTGCATTTTCAACCATAGGAGCTGTATATAGTCTTAGTAGGCTAATCAGCAAGTATTTCCCACAATATAAACCTACATTTTATGCAGCCATTAGTTATTTAATGAGTGAACGTGGGAAACATTTGATTGGGTTAACTCGCTAATTGACCTTGTCCTTCTAATACCACTGGTTAATTGGAATACTTACGTATAGCTGAGCTAACTGAGTAGGATATACTGTACTATATGCAGTTTGTGGAATTTAAATTTTGATTACAAATAACAACTTATATGCGACAATACTGTATTACTAAATTGCATTAAATATTTATTTACAGAAGTAAACACGTTGTATATGTTTTACTGTGTTTAATTTCTTAAAAGATATTGTGGATATACCAAAGCATTTTCGCTTCACTCTAACCGAATAATTGTTGTTTCGGGTAAACTAGTGAACACTAAACAAATCTATCATATGTTAAACATAGCAGTAAGAATTTAGAATAATCTTCGAGGGATATAAACTACAAATTAAAAAATTTTTCTTCGCACTTTTTAAGTAAATACGAAGCCATTTTAACATTTTTTCCCTAAATGAGGGTTTTTGAATGTACTATTATAGGTCAATTTTCTTGATTTATAAAAAAAATATCCCTCCCAGAGTGATCTCCTATTAATTAATATTTTGACCTTTATAAATTCACATTTAGGCGTATGCATTGCATGTTGTCATTGTTTGAGCAATAGTTGTGTACTGTATTCCATGAATTAACATTTCAAGATCCAAATTTGTGAAACAAAACAATATTTAAATTTGAACACGCCAATTTTATGTGTTTGACGCAAAAAAATTTAAAATTTAAATCAACAAAAGTAATCTGAAATGAAATGAAATGGAAAATCGTTTATTTTTTCAAGCAAAGTTAGGGCCACATGGCCCTTTCTTACACTTAACCTGAAATCTTACACTCAAACTGCAGTGCCAAATAGAAGTACTGTAATAAATAAGCACAGTAACCAAGCCTAAACACGTAAGACATTTATTGTTTTACAAAAAAATTAATTTAATGATCTCAATTCAATAAAAAATTAACAAAACAATCATTTTGGAACCGATGGTATAGGATAAAAATTATGAAACAAAATAAGGTAAGATATAAACTAATTGCTGAAACTTAATGTCGAGAAGAATAACATTGTAACCTCAATGTCCTATAGGGCACAGCCCCTTGGTAAAACCGTTATTTTAACGTTCCGACTCTCCAATCTTAAACTTAATAAATAGTAACCCGAATTTCATGATTCTAGCTAGTCTAAAAGTAAGAGAATTAGTGATAAAACAGTCAATGAAGGAGGGCTCTGACTTTTATAATCTTAGATTACAAATACGTGTACATAATACCGAAGTAATATTTTACTTATAATTTTATCCACAACACTATGCACACCTCCAAATCAATTCATTACATTTCCACTTGTTGTATGACACCTAACAAAACAAGTTTTCTACTTAAATAGCCTAGTACTTCTCAGAGACATCAACGCTGGAATTACCGAAGGCGCAGCCATCGTGGTTAACAAAATGCATTTCCTGGTGTTTATGCATTGTATGCAGCCTGCAACTGAGGCACTCCTTTAGCATTATATTGCCTGTATGACACACATGTGTTTTACAGCTGTTAGAGGACAAGAATACTGACTCAGGCTGTGGCAAAGCTGTTACGTAACCGAGTGTGTTTGTGAATGAATGGACTGGTTCTCACATAGCCGCAACTGATTGTAGCATTCACACAAGGCCGCACTATTCACAGCCTTGTTAGGCAATTAACATCTCTTGGAGGTTTGATGGTGTGAATTCCTTATTGATAGGTATTAATGTTTTGATTCTTAAACCACAATAATTTTCAAAAGCATTATTACCATACCTTTTTATCCATAATATATTTTACCAGAATAATAATAAGAATTTAATAAGCGTTATTATTAAGACCAAATCGGCTTTTAACATATTGCTTATAACCATTTCCTTTATTTTATGATAAACAATTACAGCCTAGTTGTCTATTAGAAAATGAAATACATTTTTTGACGGATAACTATGCATTTATTATTTTCCTCACAGTTTTATTTATTGTATTTACATTTTTGACTAGCCTCCTTGAAAAAAAATGTACTTGCAGTTTATTTTTTACTTACATTGACATTAAAAAAAGATTATAGTAACACTCGAAACATAATGTACACAAAACATTGAAAAATAGTGAATTAAAAATAATCAGTTATTTAGTAAATACTGACTTCTTCGTAAACAAAAATTAGAACTAGTAGAGCATGGTTTAAATATTTTAAAGGAAGAAACTTGAGAAGGTACAGTTTGATTACCTCTGATCCTGCTTCGGGTAAGCTAATCTAGGAAAAGCTTGAGAGAGGAAACACAATCACCATGCTTGAAGAGCAATGTTAGATACATGTTATTAAATAATAGTGATTTCGTCACTGGCAAAGATCAGTTGGGTTTTTTCGGCTAAGGCCATTTAACCAAACCAAATGATGCTAGATACAGTTTCTAACCATCAAAAATTTACTGACTTCTCTCAAGATCATACCTTTGACAAATTACTCAAAACGTACCACTCTAATGCACAGGGGGTTTCAAATGGGTCTAAAAATGGCTAAGGCCCCCCTACTTCATTCCGGAAAACTAAACTTAAACACACATTTTTTCCTGAGAACGTAACGGAGTTTTCTTAACAGGTATATACGCTGAAACTGGCTTTAAAATATCTAATTTTGGGGGTGGGCCCCCACACCCACTTCTTTTTTTAGTAATATAAACACTCCCTGGTAGTTCCTCCCCTACAAGGTCCTAGAACTGCCACTATTGCTTCTATATTCATTTCACATATTTTTGTTTTGGAAATAACTAACTGTAGGCTTATCATATTCAAATTACGTTACATTATGACTACATACCATTCTCCTGGCCCTCCTCAGCTCACCACACAGTTGACCAATCAGCAGTCCCAGAGTGATGATGGTGAACCCACCAAACGTGACGTCAGCCAATAATGCTCCATTCTCATCCCACGTGATGTTGTTCAGGTGAGGCCATTCTCTGGACAGCTTCTCCAGGTGATAGAACACTCTGAGTGCTTCGTTGTCTGTGAACCTCTTGTACACCAGGCAGCACAAGCATAGTATCTGTAACATAGTCCTGAGTGTAATATGGGTAGAGGATTCGCCAAGCTAAATATGGAAATGTTTATTGTTGTTACATATTTCTTTTAATGCCTGCAACTACGTATCCCAATAGTACAGTGTATATTTGGACGACTTTAGTAGCCATCTCCTAAAAGTTCATAAACCAAAATGTATGAAATTTCTCAACACGTGATTATGATATCTTATTTATTTATTTATTTATTTATTTCCAACGGACATCTCCATTTTACAGCATACAAAACAAAACATTAAACTCAGGATGACTTAATTGATAATAACAAATTTTGTGCTTATATATTAGAAAAAAATCAACAATATATAATGATATAATAACAAACAACAGTAACAATGCCAAACCTAGCCAAACAAAACAAAAACTGACAAAATAACAAAAGGTATACTAATAAATAAATTATTTAAAACAACAACAATAAATAAAAATATGAAACAATAACAACAAACCCACTAACAACAATAACAAATGAGAAAGATAAATATATAGATTAACTAATATAAAATTAAATTGATTAAAGAGCAACGACAAACCTAAAGTTAAATGCAAAGACAAAAGTGAAATTTTTAACAGACAAGTAGTATTGGTTTGAATGGTACAACGAAAAAACAATTTTTATTTAGGACTGACTGAGATTGATCTTCTTTTTGAGTGTAGTTACGCTGTCTTGAAAAAAGTCGACATGCCTTGTCACTTTGTTGCCAGCTCCCTGGACTCGAACCATCGTGCTGTTTGCTGAGTAGCTTGTGCGGTGCTGTTGCTTGATAAACAGATCAGTCGACCTTGTGTTGGAAGGAGTCTTGAAATGGATTTGGCGGAGCATGTAAGGACAGTCGACTCTTCCGTTGATAATCTTGTGCAGCAGGACCGTGTCAGCAATGAGTCTACGTTCCTCCAGCGACTGAAGACCAAGTGCCAGGGATATAGTGTCAATGGGCACCTGAAGGTATGGGAATCCCATCTTGAAGCCCACCATTCGAACAAATCTTCGTTGAATTTTCTCCAGCTCATTTATTAGCAACTTTTGATGAGGACTCCATATTGGTGAACCATATTCGAGAGTTTGCCTCACCAAGGCACAGTAAAGGGACTTTAGAGCTTCTGAACCGCTGAGCTGCTTTGAGAAACGGAAGATGAAACCGAGCGTTCTGTTTGCTCTACAGCATAAATCCAATACATGAGCTTGATAGTTCAATGAGGGCGTCAAGATGATGCCGAGGTCCTTAACTTGCTGCACTCGGTCAATATTTATGTTGCGAACTGAATAATTGTAGTTTATAGGGACTTTACAGCGATGAAAAGTAATGACTTGGCACTTCTTGATATTCAAATTCATCCTGTTGTCCACACACCAACGATCAAGACTAGTAAGATCTCTCTGAATCCGGAGGCAGTCATCAAAAGAAGATATAGTGGAGAAAATCTTTACATCGTCAGCGAAAAGCAGAGATTCGTTCTGAAGTGCGTCAGGGAGGTCATTTATGAAGACTGTGAAGAGATACGGACCAAGTAACGATCCCTGGGGTACCCCTGAGTAGGAAACAAATTCAGAGGAGAGAGCCGACGCATACTTGACATTGAGACGACGGTCAGACAGATAACTGGCCAGCCACCTGACGAATTTGTTTCCAAAGCCGTGGTCTTGAATTTTCCGCAGCAGAAGGGTGTGGTCCACCGTATCGAAGGCTTTGGAGAAATCCAAATAAACAGCATCAAGTTGTTTGTTTGAGGCAAAGGCTTGTTGAATTTGGGTTTGGAGAAGAATCAAGTTAGACACTGTTGATCTTCCTGTTGTAAAACCATGCTGTTGAGAGCATACAATCCCTGCAAGTTTATGTTTGATTCGATCAAGGACAAGGTCTTCAAATACTTTAGATATAGAGGAAAGAATCGAGATTGGCCTATAGTTAGCAACATTTTCAACTGGACCAGTCTTATGAATCGGTACCACATAAGCCCTTTTGAATGCATCAGGAAAGATACCAGAGTCCATTAAGGCATTAAATATGTCACAGATTGGTGGAGCCAGTAAACACCTGTTGTGTTTCAATACCCTTGGAGGTATGCCATCAGGACCCCAACCTTTATTGTCATCGAGCTTTTCAAGTTTCTCAAAGATTTCACGTGGGCTAAACCTTAAAGTTTGGGAGTCTCCAAGGTGACCAAAGGTTGACACATCAAATGATTCCGTTGGCTTTGTAAAAACTGAAGAAAAGAAATTCTTGAAGAGGTTGCACATGTCGTCAGCTTCAGTTGCGATGGAACTATTGTAGACAAGACGGGATGGTATTGTGGAAGACTTTTTTAGAGTGTTGACGTGACTCCAGAAATAATGGAGATTCCCAGGGATACCCTGCTCAATTGTTCTTAAGTACTTCTTATGTTCGCTGACTGCCAGACTCTTGCACGAAGCCCTAGCATTTGCAAAGGATTGGTAGTTGTATGCTGTTGGCTGTTGCTTATATTTTTTGTGAAGGATTTTCTTAGTAATCACTAGATTTTTTAAGTCATTGGAGAACCATCTAGGAAATGGAAAAGAACCTACCCTTCTTAAAGGCGAGTTTTCCTTGACAACCTCAGCAATTACAGAAAGAAATTCGTCAGTGGCTTGGTTTAGATCAGGTGTGCTCAAGACAGACGAAAAATCTAAAGAGGAAAGAGATCTATGGACAACATCTAGTCGGCATCTTTTAAGGTCGTGTGTATACTGCTTCTTCTTGGAGGTCACTTGTTTTGTAGAGGAGTTGTAAGGCAAAATGATGGATATAGGGGGGTGGTGTCTCTCTTCAACATTTACAAGAAAATCGTTCTCCAAGGACACGGTGAAGTTCATATTAGAGCTGAGTACTAAGTCTAATAAGACGCCTCTTCCATTAAAAACGTGATTAATTTGTTTTAGACAAAAAAGTTCCATCAAAGTAAGAACCACTCCAGATGATGGAGTGTGGCCTCTGTCCAGTGGATGGTCCCAATTTATGCCTGGAATGTTGAAGTCACCGACAATAATGATATCGGTAAAATTCTGGCCGGAGGACATGACTTCTTCAACTGAGGAAAGAAAGCTGCTGTACTTGGAGACGTGCTGATGTGGTGGTATATAGCAAGCTACTAGAAGCCAGCTAGTGCCTTTACAAGGTTCAATTTTAACCAGCAGATGTTCCACTTCTTTTACATTTGAAATCAAGCGAGTCGAAGCTATATTATCTTTGATGGCAACTAAAACACCTCCTTTGCAGGACTTAGAACTGGTTAGTGGAGATCGATCACACCGGTAGATAGTAAAATTGTCAGGAGATATTTCTGCATCGAAGACATCATCTGAAAGGTTTGTTTCTGTCAAGATTATAATGTCAAAATTACACATAGAAATGGATAGTTTGATGCTGCTTAATTTACCCCTCATGCCATATCTTGGTAAAATGAAGCTTTTCGTGACAACAATCAACAATATAGAATTATGTTGAAGCACTTATTTTAAACTATTTTTTTACTCAACGTAATCTGGAGCCTACATTCAAAATGGAGTTCAAAAAAATTGCTTTGCTTATATTTATCTATGTATTACTATAATCGTCGTTCAATAAATTGTTAATGCTTTTCATCATGAAAACAGGCGTGTGAGTCTGCCTTGCAGTAACAATGACTAACTGTACCAAAGTATACTATATTATGTATTATAGTGAATGTATTATTGATAATAAAGTGGACAGCAGAAACTATTTTAAGACACAATTTTTTTAATCGAAATGTGGCCCATGAGTTCTTAGTTTCTAAATAAGTCAGTTAAACATAGTACGGGCTAAACATTTAAAAACGTCAATTTAAAAACTTGCCTAGTTAAAACAATTCAAGGTTAAAAAAAGTATTGTTATAGTTTTCTTAATTTAATAAAAAATATTTGAGTAACATCACATCAATGTGGTGTTCAGCTTAGTGTTTAACAAGATACTTCGTTGCAAATAAGTTTATTGAACAACATCTTTCTGCTCTTTTCTTAAAAGTAAATAATAAAGGGAATCTGTTGCAGTAAAAAAAAATACTTCTGTTTCATTCGACTGCGATGGAGTTTATGGTTTTTTTTTACATAATAAAAGGTTAATAATTTTTATTTATTTATTTAAAGCTAGTTGTTAAGCTAATCAAGATGGGCAAAGTTACCATTTTGACACAATTTGAAGTAGCCTATATTTAAAATCCAACAACGATTTTTGCCTCTACTCTTTTAGGTAAACTAGAATGTTTGATGACTCTAAATTCCAATTAAAATATTTAAAATGTCACATTAATTTATTTGTCACTTAGAATAGACCTAACTTTTGGTAATACAGGTTGTCCATTTGCTATGTTAAAATCAAAAACGAATTATGACGAGTTCGATTGTACTAGCTTCTAAATCTCTGTCAACCAATACAAGAGTTATCCACAAGTATTTGAAATATTCTAGTACGATAATGATTTATTTTTACATTGGGAGCTTTAGTATACGTTTGCTAAGGAATTATAAGCGGATTCGAATAATGTACAGTATACAAGAATATAAACAATCTAATCAAAAAACAATTAAGAAAGGTGTACGATATTTGTACAATATAATTTTGTATTTGTAATATATTTTTTTCAAAACCATGTCGACCTCTGAAATCCAACTAAAATGGACTAAACAGCTTATAATTAGGTAGCTACAAAAATTTGCAGACAATTCCCACTAACTTCTAGTTAGTAATTTAGTTATTTAGGGTTTTGAAAAAGGCAAAAGTAAAACAACGCCTGCTGTTGTTATAATATTTTATTCTCACGCACCAGCTGAGAGAGTGGCTGACCTTGTGTAGGTCACATGGACTTCAGCTGTTCAGTTGTAGGGGGAAGGGGGGGCTACACTGACCGTCACAGCATTGGAGCTTTTAATAAGACAAGGCCAAGGTAGTATGGTCGTATGCAGTATGCACCTTATCAATTCTGGTCGTAA